CCTGCCCTGTCTAGGGTCTCTGATGCAGGTGCTGGTTGTCACCATCTCCCCCATCTACTGGGCCCTAGCTGGAGAGAGTGGCAAAGCCCTCAATGGTTACTCCCTGACAGGCGGCCGCTTCCGGCAAGAGTCACATGTGGAATTTGCTACAGGTGAGCAGGATCTTCCCCCGGGTTGGGGGCTGAAGCCCAAACCCAGGGCCTCTCCCAGTGGTGACAGTGGGCTGTGGGGTGGATTGCAGGAGAGCTACTTGCGATGACCCAGGTGGCTCGGGGCCTAGATCCCGATGGACTCCTGCTCTTGGACGTGGTGGTCAATGGTGTGGTCCCTGAGAGTCTGGCTGACGCAGATCTTCAAGTGCAGGTGGGGCCGTGCGGTGGGGTGGGTGAGAGAGGAGGGGTGTCCTGCTCTACCATCCCTAAGCAGTCAGGTCCACGTTCCTTCCTGACACCCCAGCCACGGGGGTCAGGTCACGCTCTGAACTTGGACTTGGGTGATAGCAGGTTATCATGAGGCTGTACTGGAACCTGTTTCTCGGGGACAGCATATTCTTCCCACTCCATAAGCAAGAACGCTGCCCAGCTGCTGGGAGGTGGAGCAGAGCGGCCTGCTCAGGGCTTTTCCCCCAGCCCCCCAATCCCTTGGGTTTCAACCCCAGGTGTGCTCCTCCTCCTCCCCCTCCTCCCCCTTGCAGGACTTCCTGGAGCACTATGTGCAGACGGGGCCTGGCCAGCTGTTCGTGGGCTCCACGCAGCGCTTCCTCCACGACAGCCTAGGGACAGCCCTACGCTGTAACCACAGCATTCAGTACGACGCAGCACGAGGTCCCCAGCCCCAGCTGGTGCAGCACCTGCGGGCCTCGGCTATCAGCTCGGCCTTCGACCCTGAGGCCGAGGCGCTGCAGTTCCAGCTCACCACGGCCCTGCAAGCTGGTGAGGCCCCATCCTCTGTTTCCACCCCATGTTCTGGCTAAGAGCTGCCAGGGGCCCAAATGCAACTGACTGAGTTGCACAGACCATGGACCAGAGCAGCTCAGCTCCTGCTTTGTCCTCCAAATTGTCCCCTCCAAATTGTCCCCTCCATCTACCACTCACAGCCCAGTAGGGACTAGGCTCTTCAGATCATTCCTGGCAAACCTCCATCTTTCCCTAAGCCCCAAGGTGAAGGTTCAGCCACCTAGGGCTGATGTTCAAGTCTAGCCACACCCCATGCTGTTCTCCCAAGGTGCCTGCATCAAGACCCATGCAGGGTGCTGGGAGCCACTGTTGGAACCCCTGGAGACCAACCTCAGCATGCCTGATAGTCTCAACCCATGGGTGCTAAAATTTCTAATGCTGAGCAAGGGACAGTGGGAAGAACACAGCTGTGAGGTCAGGTTCAAATCCCATCTGTAGTATTTTCCAGCTGTGGGACCATGGGGGCAGTGCCCTGGTCCTCCCTGAGCCTCAGTGTTCAAATCTGCATGAGGGTGTGGCATGGTTGGCCTCCCAGGGTGTGAAAAGTAGAGGTGCTGCCTCGAAAGCTCCAGCCTGGCCCTAGTTGGTACCTTACCAAGGGTGGCTGTCCTTACCACTACTTACATCGTCTGAGCTCCATCCCATATCCAGAAGGCCCCACCTTCTTTTTTGTGCCCACTGGATGCCGTGGGTTATCCCCTCTGCATGCCCCCCCACCCCATGCACCGACACCAGGTTCTTGTAAGCGCAGTTTTGTACTTCTGATTTCTGCTTTTCTCCAATGGTCTCTCCTGGGTCTGCCTGGCTCTCTGCCCAGCCCCACTGGAAGCCCCTTGGGTACATCTATACAACTGGGCACGTCCAACACCCATCTCTTCCAACAGGCCTGGGCAAGAAGTGAGCTTCCTGCCTCCTGGCACCAACCTGGCTCAGAATAGAGGCAGAACAACTAGCTGAGGTTCACTGCCTACTCCAGCTGTAGGAGGGAGCCTGGGCCGTGGCCAAGGTGGCCTGGGGACTGGTACCCTCGTGTCCTCAGGGCCATCCTCTTTGCCTTGCAGAGGAGAATGAAGTTGGCTGCCCTGAGGGCTTTGAGCTGGACACCCAGGGCACATTTTGTGTGGGTGAGCACTCCCCCATCCCTACCCCATGCCTTCAGCATAGATAACAGAGATCCATCTCTCAACCTGGGATGCACAACCTGTCCCAGCCAACTGGCAGGAGGCCCTGTGAGCAGACCACCGATCTCTCCCTACCCAGACAGGGATGAGTGCTCTGGTGGCCCCAGCCCCTGCTCCCACTCCTGCCACAATGCACCTGGCCACTTCTCCTGCTCCTGCCCAGAAGGTTTCACTCTGACCTGGGATGGCAGGAACTGCAGAGGTGAGTAGGCCCCAGGAAAGGTGCTACTAGGATCTGGTCCAGGTGTGCAAGAGGGTCCCCAGGGCCAGGACCCTGACCATAGAACATTCCTGAAGACATTGATGCCAGCCTTGGGATTCCAGGACCTGCCTCCACCAGGTCCTATCCTGCTACGAGGGCCACAGGTGGGAGAGGCTCAGATGTTAGAGGTGACAGGGTCCCCAAGATGTACGTTCATGACATTCATACCTGTGGGTCCTGGACACACCTGAAGGCTCTGCCCACGTCCAGCCTCAGTTCTGGTTGATTGCGGATGGCATGTGACCTGACATTGGCCCCAGTTTCTCTGCTTGCCCCCTGGGCAATGTGGCTGGATGGCAGGTGGGGCCCTGAAGACTGTCCTGATGCTGACTCCGCTCTGCACCCTCCATTCCCATCAGTTGGACCTGGGGTAACCAGTCTCCATTGAGCTCCGGCTGGGGCCCAAGGTGACATGGTCTGCACCCTTGTATCGGAAGCTGCGGGCAGAAGCTCTCAGGTCCCTTGGCAGGCTCTATGTTTAGAGGGGAGGATGATGGAAAGCTGTAGCAGGAAGGCTGGGGTGCTTCATGCCCAGGCTCCTGGGCTGGAAATGAATCCTGTGTGGGTTGACTGGGTAAGGCTCAGAGTGCAAGGGGGCACGTGTCCATGCAGCCATCTGCCTGGCCTGTCCCCAGATGTGGACGAGTGTGCATGGGATACCCACCTCTGCCAAGAGGGACAGCGCTGTGTGAACCTGCTCGGGTCCTACCACTGCCTCCCCGACTGTGAGCCCGGCTTCCGGGTGGCTGCTGATGGGGCCGGCTGTGAAGGTGACAAGGGCACAGGGTGGGGCCAGACCAAACTCCTGAGAACGTAACCAGTGCCAAGGTTCAGCATCTATCACGGGGATGCTGAGCTTTCAGGGGACCAAAACTCTCTTGGCAGAGGAGCACTTGAGGCCAGAGAAAGCCTGAGCTGGGGTCCAGAGGTCTGCAGCCTGGGTACCCTTGACGAATGTCTTTTCCTTTCACACCTCAGGCTTGTCATCTGTTCGATGAAGGGGCACAGGTTGGGGATGGCAAACATCTGCCACCTCTGCTGCCCTTTCACTATCCCCAGCCTAGGGACTGTCACCTCTGAGTCCTTCTAACACAGCTTCCCCAGTGGCCCCTGTGGGTCAGCAACAACTGGCCTTGGGGTTGAGACCTGGGGACTGCCCTGGAAGGAGACCCCCAGGGTCTTCCCATCCCAGTATTCTATGGCTTCATGGAGACAGGCCACTGGTGGAAAGGAAGCATGATGATCTTGAACTCGGAGGATGTAGCTGGTCCTCCTCGTTGGGCTGCCTTCCACCTCCCCCTTCTTCCTCATCGTTTCTTCTATTTTAGCTCCTCCCATGTAACCAACTCCTAAACCCTTCATATGCACGACCCAATTCTCCCTCACGACACTCCATGGAGAGGGCTTGTCTTTGGCCCTTTTTACAAATGAGGAAACTGAGGCCCAGAGCAGGAGTGTTGTTTGCCCAAGGACTAGCGTATGGCAGAACTCAGCTGGAATCCGGGACTCTCTGCCTGCAAAGACACCTTTTAAACCCCTTCCTTTCTTTGTACCTGCAATTTTGTTGATCTACAACCGGTAGCATGGGGAGGGGGTTTAAGTGCTGGTGTGCAACCTGGTGGCACTACAGTTGGGGAAGGGATGAGACCCAGATGTGGCAGGAGGGGGGAGGAATGGTACATCCCGGGGGGAGGGGTTTGGATCAGCCCCGCCCCTGACCATGCCCTACACCTCTTCAGATGTAGATGAATGCCTGGAGCAGTTGGATGAATGTCACTACAACCAGCTGTGTGAGAACACCCCAGGTGGTCACCACTGTGGCTGCCCAAGAGGGTACCGTCTCCAGGGCCCAGGCCTGCCCTGCCTAGGTATGGGGACATCCAGCCCCTTCCTGGGGCTCTGGTCAGCAGCCCTAACTCAGGGCAGTGGGTGTTTATGGAGATGGTGAGTTCTGAGAGTGACCAAAATGGCAGCAAGGCTGACTGCACTCACCAGGTCCTGAATCTGTGCTTTACTCCACACCAACTTTGCAGGGGGTAGGGGGTAAGGGTTGCTTCCCTGGAGGCCAGGAGGGGGATGAGAAGGGAGATAGGAGGCATGGGTGTAGAGTGGACCCAACTGCTGTGGAGCTGAGCATGCTGGAACCTGGGGTGGTGCTCACAGCTGAGGTGGTGGACCTGGGATCAGAGTGGGGGTCACAGAGGGCTGGCATGGAGGCAGCCCACAGGGCGTATGAGGCACTGGATTCCTGGAAGAAGAGGAGGCAGCTAGTGACTGGAGTGGCCGCAGGCTGTGGGAGACCTGAGCCACCCTCTTCTCCCTGCCTGGACTCCCTCTGCAGATATCAACGAGTGCCTGCAGCTGCCCACACCCTGTGCCTACCAGTGCCACAACCTCCAGGGCAGCTACCGCTGCCTGTGCCCACCGGGCCAGACCCTCCTTCGGGACGGCAAGGCCTGCAGCCCACTGGAGCGGAGTGGACAAAACGTGACCACTGTCAGCCACCGGGGCCCCCTTGTGCCATGGCTGGGACCCCGGGCCCCCATCCCTGGCAGCTCCTACCACACCTGGGTCTCCCTCCGGCAGAGTCCAGGAGCCCTAAGCAGCATGGGCCGGGCCTGGTGCCCTCCTGGCTTCATCAGGCAGAATGGTGTCTGCACGGGTAAGGCTGGGCCCAGCCACCCCATGATCACACACCCCTGGGCTCAGGGGGTGGGCAAGAGAGGTGGGGGCAGAAGACTGTGTCCTCCATGCAGGGACACTCAGAGCCGTCGCTGTGCGGATGAGCAAGGGACTTCTGAGAGGGGGGTGGAGTGTTTTTCAAACTATCTGATGGAGGACACTTTGTCCAGAGGGGGGACAAATAAATGCTCCCAAAACCCACTTGAGAAACATTGGCCGGGAAGGGAGATTGGGGGAATGAAGGAGAATGTGCTAGTTAGATATAAAGAAGAACTGGTGAAAACAGGGGTTGGGAACCAGGACAGCCCCTGGACCACGTGGAAGCTGATGGGGTAGCAGAAAGAGGTGCCCTGCTTGGCACAGGGTTCGATACGATAATGCCTTGGTAAGCAAGAGGACAGGGTCTCCACTCTCCCCAAGCCCAAAGACTCCCTGGAGCCAGGGTTGGGTGGAGCAGGGTGGGGAGCAGGCCGCCTTGGGTAGGGACTTTCCTGGCTGCCCCAGAGCTGATGGGTAGGCATGTAGTCACCCAGCATTTGTGACTCAGCATCTCTCTGCCCCCATCCGTCCCCACACGGGGCAGACTTTGACGAGTGCCAAGTAAGGAGCCTGTGCCAGCATGCCTGCCGCAACACTGAGGGCAGCTACCAGTGCCTCTGCCCCTCCGGCTACCGCCTCCTCCCCAGTGGGAAGAACTGCCAGGGTGAGCGCAGGCGCCACTCTTCCAGACCCCAGCCGACGGTCTCAGCCCTCTGCTCTTTCCAGCCCCTGCATGACTGTGGTGGGAGGTGGGGACAGGAATACCATCTCAGAGGTGTGGGTAGCACACTCCACACAGGAGCCTCAGGAGATCACGTGGGCAGGCTCTGAAGATGCCCTCCAGGGCCAACCCCAGCTCTGCTGTGTGTCCCTGGGCCACTTTCTCCACCTCTCTGAGCCTCATTCCAGGTGAAACAGGGCTTACACAGTGCTCCCTCACTGTGTGAGCTGGGGTGAGACCTGAAGATGTGGGCACAGCTGCTGGTGGTGGCAGTCTTAATGTCCTCTAACCCCCATTTTCAACACAACCCCCGATGGACATGAGGCGGGAGATGGTGGGGTTGGGGCTGGTCCGGCTGCTTCTCCAGAGCTATAGAGTGGGAATCGTGTCAGCCCAACATGTCTCCACCCCTCGCTCTCTGCCATGAGGGTCAGTCAATGTCCTCCAGGAAGGGCGGGCATCCACTGAGGGATGGGGCACGGGCCATCCCTGGGACACCCAGGGTAGGAGGAAGTCAGCTGCTGCCCCAGCCCCAATCTCTAGGCTTTCTACCCTGTAATGTCCCCACCATGGGAGGTGCTAGGGACCTCCAGGCTGGCTGAGGATAAGCTGGGGACAAGGGGCTGCCCATCTGGTTGGTCCTCTGAAGGTGTTACTCTCACTCTCCCCCGCTCCTGCCATCTCGGTTCCTGCCTTCGGCCTTCATTCTCCATCTTCTCACCACCCACCCCCCTCCGTCACGCAGACATCAATGAGTGCGAGGAAGATGACATCGAGTGTGGGCCGGGCCAGATGTGCTTCAACACCCGCGGCAGCTTCCAGTGCGTGGACACGCCCTGTCCTGCTGCATACCGCCAGGGCTCCAGCCCCGGGTAAGGGCTGAGCCGGAGTGGGGGTGGGGGGCACGCCATCTGCCGGAGGCTGTGCTGCTTCCCCTCTGGCTCCTGTATGGCTGGCCGCCCCAGGCCACCCAGGGTCAGGGGAAGCTACATCTTCAGGACAGCGCATGGCAGGCAGAGCTCATCCTGCAGCCAGCTTGCAGCAGGATAGGAGGGATGCAGGCAGCCACGTGTGGGACAATGGGGCAGAGAACGATGTCACACACACAGCCCTAGACACAGAAATGCACACCCAAACATAAACCAGCGACACCCCTGGAGCCTACAAAGGCCCTTGGCGTCAGGAGCTGATGCGGTTTCCTAGGGCTGGGTCTTACTCTGGACCATACAAATCAGGAAACGTAGGCTGGCAGTGTTAGCGGAAACCCGGGCAAGGCTGAACTCATTCCTTTGAGCCTCCACCCCCGTGCTGCAGATGCAGAGCGTGTGACTCAGCTCCTGGGCATCTCCAGATGGACCTGGAGCACTCGAGTTTTATCACTGCCTTGTGTCCGCTGAGCGCTCCAGGGAAAGTCCACAAGGGGGACTTGTTCTGGGCGTACGGGGCACTCGGGCTCTTTTGGGCCTCGGTTTATTGATCTCTAAAATGGGCTAACAGTGGCTCTTGTGGGGAAGGCATCTGGGACGCGGGTGGGCGCGGGCAGAGCTACGGGAGTTAGGGGTGAGTCCAACTGGGCCACGCTGGATGGCAACCCGGGTCCGTCGGTCTGTCTGTGCGGCCCGCAGGACGTGCTTCCGCCGCTGCTCGCAGGACTGCAGCGCCGGCGGCCCCTCCACGCTGCAGTACCGGCTGCTGCCGCTGCCCCTGGGCGTGCGCGCCCACCACGACGTGGCGCGCCTGGCCGCCTTCTCCGAGGCCGGCGTCCCCGCCAACCGCACGGAACTCAGCGTGCTCGAGCCCGACCCGCTCAGCCCGTTCGCGCTGCGCCCGCTGCGCGCCGGCCACGGCGCCGTCTACACCCGCCGCGCGCTCACCCGCGCCGGCCTCTACCGACTCACCGTGCGCGCCGCCGCGCCGCGCCACCAGAGCCTCTACGTCCTGCTCATCGCCGTGTCCCCCTACCCCTACTGAGGCCGGCGACGTCATTGGCTGCAGCTCTGCCCCCTCCCCCTCCCCTGGGTGGGAGCAGGAGGAGCCGGTCCACCCCCACCGCCCCGGCCTGGCGGGACAGGGTGGCCCTTGCCCATGACACCTGATGTGACAAGGGGAACGTCCTCTTCTCCCGCCCCGTGCGTCAGCGAGACCTTCAGTAAACACGGCTCTGTGCACAGCCTTGACCCCGGGACAGCGGGCCGCGCTGGGGCGAAGCCTCACGTCTGACCCGCCCCTGCAGGATCGCCCCAGAACGCTCGCTGGGCAGGTGCACAGGCACCAGGACACTCGGGAGGAGCAGGCCCTGGGGGCGGCTGCAGCTGTCGCCATCCACACCTTGAACCCAAGGGTGTGTATAATATAAAGAGATTGATTTTAACCGACTTGGTTTTTTTGTCCAGTTATTGAGGGGCTTGGGCAGGGAGGGAGACGCCTCCTTTCCCTCTGACCCAGGGTCACTGGAGCCAGAGTCCAGCAGAGCAGGTTCCTTAGGAGCCCTGTGGCTCAGGCACGTCTCTGGGCTGTTTCCTGTGAAATATGAATTTTGCAATAGCGCCTCCCCTCCCCCCATAGGGGCTGGGGAGCATTAATGAGAATTCAAAGTGCCACACAGATGTGGTAGCAAAAAACAAAAATCTTATATTCTTAAGAATAATAGCTATATACATTTTTTTTCAGTATTGGGGCTCGAACTCAGAGCCTACACCTTGAGCCCACTCCACGACCCCCCCCCACCCCTTTTCTGTGATGGGTTTTCCGAGATAGGTCTGAGAACTGTTTGCCGTGGCTGGCATCGAGCTGTGATCCTTCTGAGTAGCTAGGATTACAGGTGTGAGCCACTGGCTCCAGACAATAATAGTTATCTTTTTATTGTATATACTTAAGGTGTTCAACAGGGTGCTTTGATATACACGCTTCCTTCAGGACCCCTGGGATACCAAAAGCTTTGGATGCTCAGGTCTAATAAATGATAAAATGTTTGCATATGACCTACACACATCCTCCTGTGTACTTTAAATCACCTCTAGACTACTTAAAATACCCAACACGTGCATTTGCTCGGTAAAAACACTACGCTGGATTCTGTAGAAAATAATGGCAAGAAAGAAGTCTCACACGTTTTGTGCAGACACAACCATCCGGGTCCAATTTCTCACCCCAGGGCAGCTCAGCCGGCATGGGATTGTTTGAACCTGGGATGAGAGCCGCAGGTATGGCAAGCCGGCTGTGCTAACATATAAAGATTGGGGTGGGTACCGATGCTTACACTCTGGTTCTTGCACTTCAGCAAGCACTCTACTACTTGAGTCATACCTCCAGGCCTGAAGTGGCTCTAATAAAAACATCTATCATTTCACATATGCTTTTTTGTGGCACGTATCTAAAATGTACTCTTTTAACCAAAATCCTAAACTTTTTTTTTTCTTTTGGTGGGATTGGGGTTTGAACTCAGGGATTTGTGATTGGAAAGCAGGCACTCTACCACGTGAGCCACAGCTCCAGTCCTTAACCAAAATCCTGAAACAGTATTATTGGCTGTTGTGCTCTTGTGCATTAGCTCTTGAAGGAATTCATCCCATACAGTCATCAGTTTGCATCTTTTGTCTTAAATCTTCCCATTTCTTCCCACCCCATCTCTGAACAGTTTTGTTCCCTGTTCCACCTACAAATGCAATCAGACAGTATTTCTCTGAGTATGGCTTATTATTGATTTTAAAGGGTTTTTTGTGTGCTTTTGTTTCTTGGTGGGACTGGGGTTTGAACTCAGGGTTTTGCACTTGCAAAGCAGGCACTTTACTGCTTGAACCACAACTCCGGTCAATTTTGCTGTAGTTATTTCTGAAGATGGGGATTCTGAGAACTATTTGCCTGGGATGTCCTCCAACCACTACTGTCCTGATCTCAGCCTCCCAAGTATAGGATTTACAAGTGTGAGTCATCAGCACCTGGCTTAAGTATTTTTTGTGTGTGTGTGAGGTGCTGGGGTTTGAACCCAGAGCCTACACCCTGAGCCACTCCACCAGCCCTTTTCTGTATTGGGTATTTTCGAGATATCGTCTCTTGAACTATTTGCCCAGTCTGGTTTCAAACCACGATCCTCCTGATCTCGGCCTCCTGTGTAGCTAGGATTACAGGCGTGAGCCACTGGCGCCCGGCTATGGCTAAGGTAATTTTAAAGGGCTGGAGTGCAGCACAGTGATAGAGTGCTTGCCTAGCATGCACAAGGCTCTGGGTTCGATCTCCAGCACCACGAACATATTTCTGAATGAACTAGCTAAATTAATTCATTTACTCATTTGGCTAAGATCCTTTGAGTCCTACTTATCTGCCAGGCAATGGCCATCCAATCTTTGAGTTCATGGCCTCTGTTCTAGTGGCAAAATGTATATAAATAGCAAAGGAATAAAGAGTAAAATGTGAGGCTGGTGGAGTGGCTCAAGTGGTAGAGCTCCTGCCTAGCAAGTGTGAGGCCCTGAGTTCAAACCCCAGTAATGCCAAAAAAATTTTTAAAAGAGTAAATAATCTGTCAGTTGGGGAGGGATGCTTGGGAGAAAAACAAAGTTGGGAAAGTGGGGTGGGCATTTGGGTAGACCTCTGAGCAGACACTGGAGGAAGGGAGAAAGCTATGCAGACATGAAGCAAAGAATGCTCCCAGCATAGGAAACGGCAAGTATCAAAGTCCTGAGGTCAGAGGGCCCAGCAAGCAGGCAGGAGCTGGAGTTGAACAAGGAGAGGAAAAGGAAGGAACAGAGTCAGTCAGAAAGGAGAGGAGGCTGGGCAGATCTGATGGAGTCTTTGGGCAATACAGGAACTTTGAGCCCCAAGGGACAGGATTAAACACAGACATTCTTACGTCCAGGCAGCAGCACTGGCTCTGAGTCTGGGAGACAGCAGGTTCTGCAGGAGCCCAGCAGTGCTCTTCTCCACATTGTCCTTGCTTACCCTCCTGGGCTGGCAGGTCCCTGCCTCAGTGACCTCCTGCCAGCTGCCCGCAGACACAGCCTCTGAGAACCTGCCTCTTAAAGGGCTCTTTTCTCCTGGCTCCCCTGGCTCATTGTGACCACGAGGTCACATTCTCACGAGGCCACTAGGAACGCAGTCTGGGTTATTGCCCACTAGGGGAGCATGACAATCAGACTACCTAAACCGAACCTTTCAGCACTGCTGGGGAAAATCTGATAGAAAAGGGAGGCCAGGGGAGGATCCAAGACGCAGTCAATTGCTTGACTGACAGGTGAATGGTTGGGGCAGGACTGGGAGTTCCACCCAACTGCCCCCACCAAGTTTTCCAGGACACTTCCACTTTCAGAGTTGTTTCCTTTAAAGCCAGAGCTCCGCACACTTTCTCTGTAAGGGCCGAAGTGTAACTATTTTTGGTTTTTCTGGTATACTTACTTCCTTTGTCCTCGAGCTGCAAAAAGCAGCCACTGGCAACAGGCAAACAGACAGGCATGCTTTGTGCAAATAAAACTTTATGGATGCTTACATTTCAAATTCATGTTCATTTTTATGACTTGTGAAAATGTTTTTCTTTTCTTCCCCGCCAACCATTGACAATGTAAAAGCCATTCTTTGCACACAGGCTTTACAAAACCAGAAACAAATTACAGTTTGTTGCCCTCTTTTTTTTTTTTTTTTTTAGTGGCATTGGAGTTTGAACTCAGGGCCTCACACTTGCTAAGCAGACGCTCTACCACTTGAGCCACTCCGTCAGCCATTTTTTTTGTGTGTGTTTGAGTATTTTAAAGACAGGGCCTCAGTTTTTGCCCTGGCTGGCCTCCAACAGAGATCCTCCTGATCTCTGCCTCCAGAGTAGCTAGGATTACAAATGTGAGCTGCAGGCACTGGCTTGTCCTCTGCTTTGAACCCCACTGCTTGTGGAATTCCAGGCCGGTGGAGGAGAGATGGGGGAGGAGAGAGTGGATGGGGAGGAGGGTCCTCCACAACACATTGGTCCAGGACCTGCCTGTGAGACCTTCTTGGGCTGAACTCCCCTCCTTATAGGAGTCAGGGTCAGAATTTGAGCCCTGCTCTCTGCTGGGCTGTTAATTTTTTATGGACTTTGCAGTCAAAGAGAAGAGACTGTTAGCCTGGGTCTGAGAAAAAGCAGGGGTCAAGACCTGCATTTTTAGTCTCTCCTCCGATTTCCTGCATGGGGAGCAGGAAATGTTTCTCTCTTTTTCTCCCCATTTCTCCCTATTTTCATCCTATCATACTAAATTTCTTTCCTAATAAACTTCACTATCATTTTAACTACAAATTAAAAAAAAAAAAAAAAAAAAAGACGTGCAGAGCAAGAGGTCAACTGTCACCCCTGCTTTCCTGCCGCCTACTCACCAGTCTCTGATGGTAAAAGTACCGTTGGTCTCTCTGTAGTACACTAATGAATCTGAGTTTACTTTCTTTTCCCAGGAGCTTCAAAGGCAAGAAATAGTGTACCCATTTCACAGATGAGGTAATGATGATCAGAGAAGGTGAAACATTTGTCTGAGCTCACAAGGCCTGGAGGGGAAGATGACTCAACCAGGTCCATCCAACCCCAGACAGCAGGCCTCTGAGCCTCTGGCAAGATCCAGGGAAGGAGGGTGAGGAGAGGAAGGGCCAGGGGCAGGATGGAGAGGAGGGTCTGCTAAGTGGAAAGGGATGTCCCTTCAATTCGGCTCCTTTCCTCCCACATTCCCCACCTCCCCACCACCCCCACCCCCACCCCCATGAAACAGGCACAGGAGAGTGAAAAGAAGTGACTTGCCAAAGTCATGCAACAAGCCCGTGATGGACTAGGCATGACCCAAGCCCTGACCCTCCCCCATCCCTTCCCCCATCCACAAGGACTGTCACCTCGCAGAAGTGACAGTCTCACAGCTCTGAGAAGGGTGTTTTCCACTTCTACTTTTCCACTGCCAGCTGTCCTTGGCCAAGACCCTGTCCAGCCACCCAGGCCCTGGGGACCACTGACCTCCAAGGACTTCTGCACCATCAAGAGTGGAAAACAGCCCTGCAGGTCAGGTCATTCATTAAACTTCCTGATGTAGCTTTTCCAAGAATTCACAACTGGACTCTGTGTTCCTCTGGGGTGGGGACCAGCAATCAGAGGTCATTTTCTCTGCTGGTCATTATCCCCCAACCCGGACAGTGGCAAAGCGCTTCTGGTGCTGATCCTGAGGTGGTTGTAGGGTGAGGTCCTTGAAGTGTCTATACGCTCAGGCCCCTCACAGCTAGCAGGTATAGAGCCCTGGATGGGGAGGACAGGCGGTCCCTCCACGGTTATGTGCACAGGCCGCATAGGCCTGTAGGTCTCTGGGGATTTGACAAGGTCACATCCACGGAGCTGGTCCTTCAGCTGTGCAGACAAAAGTCAGAGCCCACCCTTCAAG